CCCCAACTTTGAGTGAAAAGGATTGAATCCCAGCTAACACATGCCCCAGAAACTGAAGAGATGGCACACTAGTGACTAGGGTTAGGTGATTGTGGGGAGTTGCATGGTGTGTGACTTGAACTCTTCCTACAGATATGTCTCGACATAAAGGGCTTCTGTAGCAGATGGAGAGGGGATGTTTCAGGGAGTTTGGAGGTAAGGTCCTGGGGCCTCTCCCAACCTGGTCAGGAGGGTCCTCTACTTCCCCTGAAGCACTTTGGGGTAACCACCCTGAGGTGACTCCTTCACCTCAGCACCCCGCATCGGAAGAGCCCTCGGACACCAGGACACTGCCCTTGAGCTGGTCCTTGAGTTCATAATCCGATTTGGCCTCTCAACTCACATATTAGTGTGTTTTAAATAACCACAGCAGGATCTTGGTGTTCCCTGGAAGCCCTGACCACAGTGGTGTGTGTTCAGTGGGTTCCCTCTGCCACAGTGGGTATGTAGCCCCACATCATTGAGAGACCCCATGTCCCAGTGAGAGGCCAGCCCAATTGATGATCAGCGGACACAGGGTGGGGAAGCAGGTCAGCAGGTTTGGATTCCTCCATCGTATTACCTGACTGCTCCAGATAACCAGAAGATGGACAGACGATCTCTAACAAATCTGTTTCTCTGTCTCTGCACCATCTCAGACAGGGTCCCACTATGTAGTCCTGACTGGTCTCACAGAGACCAGGCCGCCTCTGCCTCCTGAGTCCTGGCATTAGCAGTGTGCACCACCACACCCAGCTCCAACAGAAACCTTAGCCAACAGCGCCCATCCTCGAAGCAGATCCAGGTTCAATCATGGGCTCAAGGTTGTCCCTCCAGCATCTCCATAAATCCCACTCAGTGCATCTGGGTAGTTTCCAGGAGGACATGCAGCTTGTTCTCCACCTGCACTTTCAGACTGCCCCGGGGGGAAAGGTGAACCCAGGTCCTGGGAGTTTGGGTCCCAGCCTGGATCCAGTCCTACTACTCAGAATATCATGCGGACGCCGCTATGGTGTGCCTGCCCAGACCACCTTAGCCTCCACGGCAACTCAGTGTCCTGCGCTCTCTCTCTCTTTTCTCTCTCTCTCTCTCTGACTTCACCCCTCACATTCAAGTTGCTTCTAGGGCTCTCGGCATAAGCAGCACACCCACCCAGAAACAGCACCTTGGGTGCTCAGTGGCCTTCTTGTACATGTTCACACCTGTCTTGGAGGCCACTGATATGTAGAACATGAGGACAGAGAAACCCTTGCGTTCATCCTCTGACCTCTGCTTTCCACCGTGAAGTGGGTCTTCTTATCGATGTATCCCCAGGGCCTAAAGAGGAGACCCTTACCATCCGCTGAATCAAACCTCTAATGTCAAAATCCACCTTCCAGATGAACAAGATGCTGGAAACACCAACTGACTCAGCTCCCCGGTGGCTAAAGCTGGGCATGGCAACTTACATTGTAATCCTAGCAACTAGGAAGCCGAGGCAGGAGGATCACCGTGGGTTGAAGGCCAGCCTTGGCTCCACTGTAAGACTCGGCCTCGGAAACAGTGAAAACCTGAAGTAACTGTTAGGATGGATACTTCTTTTCTCTTGTTCTCTCTCCCTCACCCCTAGCTGCTCACCTCCCCCCCAAGAGCCAAACCCCTTCCCCTTCCTCCCATCCTCGGCCCACCTTGTTGAAGTCAAAAGTTTCGAACATCTGTTCCACATACTGGCTGGCTGAGGGGCTCAGGTTCTTGAGGCCAAAGAACTGGCGGAATTCGTAGAGGGTGAGCTGGCCAGAAGGGCACTCGGTCATGAACTTCTTGTACCACTGATGGCATTCGGTGCTGCTCAGCTCCTCCACGGACTTGCCCTCCATGACGTTGCCCATGGTCCAGGCCCACCAGAGACTGACGTCCTAGATGGACAGGGGGTCCTGCTCCCTAGTGTCCCCTGCACCAGGTGGCTTGACTTTACGGAACCTGCCCTCCCTTCTCACAAAAGCCACTCAGTGAGTCAGATGGCGCAGGCGACTGGAAAGGGTGGAGAGCAGGCTGTGACTCCCATCCAGACGAGGGGGTGCCAGAGAACTGGGATTAAAACCAAATCCTTACACCAGCAGGGGCGGCAAGGAATGGAAATAGAATAAGCTTAGGGACCCATGGCCCTAAGATTACAGCCTTGAGCTGCAGATGAGAGGATTTTTCTACCCAGTTTGCAGTCTCCTAATCCCTTAACAGGATCCAGTGGGCGGGCGGCCGGCAGCTGCTCTGATCCTATGACCTCCATGTCCTTCTCGTACACCTGCATCCCCAATGTTCTGGCTCCTGCCTTCAGACATGGGACTGCCGTACACGTAAGACAGACCTGGCTTCTCTCCCAGACAGAGGCCACACAGGACCTGTGCTGCTGTGCGCAGCTGTCCAGGCGCATTCTATACTGAGAAGTCACCGAGGGATCCAATCACACGAGAGCTGCTGTGTGGATTCAGAGTTTAGGGGCTTCTGAGACATGTCCCCGGGAGCTGGAAGGAACCCCTAAATGTGCACACTCAAACCCTCGCTGACGTCTCCTCTGGGTTGAAGCACCCCTCCTGGAGAGAAAGAAAAAGGATCATAAAACTCCCAAGAACAAGATTTCAAGGTCCCTCGCAGCGGGTACGTGAGCGGGAAGCAATTGCTGGAGAGGAGACTGTGGACCTGCCTTCCTCGGGGACCTGCCTTCCTCAGGGGGCTGGAAGGACGAAGCTTTCATGAGAGTCATCACCCATTGGTAGGGTTTTTCTGTGACAGAGCTGGCCATGTGTCACCCAGGCTCCCGTAAATGCTGAGTCCCAAACCCAGTTGGCACGTTCCTGTAACAAGTGATGGCAAGACAGACCCTGCTCACCGTCTGCAAAGAGCTTATGATGGCAAACCCTTGAGTTTCTTAAAAATCCGTCACAGCATCTATGAAACCAGCAATTGAAGAGATTGAACAATGGCACACAGCACAGGTGCAAAACGTCATCGCCCAGGAGCCACGGGGTGGGTGGGTGAAAACCTCGGTGCCGTGGGTAGGCTACCTCCCTAGGGGTTTTTGACAAGAGGTCTCTGGGGTCCCACACACCATAAAGGCCTGCCAGTGCTGAGGGCTGCCTCCCCAGCACGCACTGGCAGGGCCCTACTGCTGAAGACATGGGCTTTGGTTGTAGGGCATGGAGGAGTCAATGGGCCTGAGCTGGGCTTCCCCTCTGTGTCCAGCTTTCGTAGTCCCAGAGGGAGAATTGTCTCCAGGCGTCCTGTGTGCCACACTGTGGTTAGAATGGGAACTGTCTGCCACAGGCTCATGTGTCCCCAGCTGGTAACATGTTTGGGAAGGTTGTGGGTCCCTGAGGAGGTGCAGGCTGGAAGAAGAGGGTAACCAGGGTGGACCCTGAGGTTTGATGGCCTGGCCCTACGTCCTGTGCTAACGGGACACTTGGGTCCTGTCCTTGTAGGCACAGGCAAGTGACAGGCACAGCAATGAAGAGAAGCTGTATCTCAGCCATTCGGAAGATTTATGGTACTTATTGGTGGCAAACACTCACACACCACACCACATATATACACCACACACACATACATACCACATACAACACACACACACATCACACCACATATATACACCACACACACATACATACCACATACAACACACACACACACATACATACCACACCACATATATACACCACACACACAAACATACCACATACAACACACACACACATACCACACCACATATATACACCACACACACATACATACCACATACAACACACACACACACACACATACACACACTATACGTATACATATCATACATACCACACACATACAAAACACACCACAAACATACCACACATACATACTACACACACACACACACACACACACACACACACACACACCACATACACACAAATGAAAATGTAATAAAATACTTGAGGCCGGGGCAGTGGTGGCACACGCCTTTAATCCAGCACTCAGGAGGCAGAGCCAGGCAGATCTCTGTAAGTTCAAGGCCAGTCTGATCCACAGAGCAAGATCCAGGACAAGCACCAAAACTACACAGAGAAACCCTGTCTCAAAAAACAAAAACAAAAACAAACTAAATAAAATATTTGAAAATATATAAAAGCCATCTGTTCTTTATAGTGCTTCGTAATGAATGTATGTTCACATAACCCAAAGGATGGTCATCTTTTGGAGAAGAACCAGTCAGGTCTGTTTTGCATCTATTCTCCTGAAAGGATGAGTTTAAGGTACACAAAGGGGGGAATCCCTAACTTTGGTTGAGGTCTGTACACTTGTAGTGCAGGGATTGTGTAGTTCGAATCCTAGTTAGTCTTAATAATAAAAACCCGGAGCCAGATATTGGGGTAAGTGCTGAAAAATCAGAGAGATAAAGGAGCAAGCTACAGCCACTTCTTACCTCGCCTACTCCTCAGCCTGAAAGCCCCACCCCACCCCAGCTCCTGTCTCCTCCCACCTTATATTCCTCTCTCCTCCCAGACATATCACTTCCTGTCTCCACCTCCCTAGTGCTGGGATCAAAGGTGTGAGCCACCACTGCCTGGCTTTTATGGTTAACTAGTAGCTAGCTCTGCACTCTGATCTCCAGGCAAGCTTTATTTGTTAGAGCACCAACAAAACATGACCATATTAAAGTGTATAAGGTTGAGAGACATTAAAAGATAATTTTGGTAAGTTAGAATAGAAAGTGAATTAGGCACAACCTTATGGATTCACCAAGATAGGATAGATAATGAGTATTTTCTCTGTATTTGTGAATTGTTAATGGACTAGATGTATTTATTGTCTGTATATATTGTATATAGTTATTGTACTCATTGTATGTAGTTTTTCTTATATTAGTTATAACCTTTTTTATTTTAGACAAAAAAACAGGGAAATGTGATATTTTGTTTGTGCTCTAACAAATAAAGCTTGCCTGGAGATCAGAGTGCAGAGCTAGCCACTAGTTAACCATAGAGGCCAGGCAGTGGTGGCATAGACTTTTAATTCCAGCACTTGGGATCTCATGCCTTTGCTCCCAGTACTTAGGAGGCACACGCCTTTAATCCCAGCACTAGGGAGGTGGAGACCGGAAGTGATTTGGTTGGGCAGAGAGAGGAATATAAGGCGGGCAGAGTTAGGAGTTGGCCTCTTTTCAGGCTGAGGAGTTGGCGAGGTAAGAGGTGGCTGTGGTTTGCTCCTTTGTCTCTGATCTTTCAGCATTACCCCGGATATCTGGCTCCGGGTTTTTATTATTAGGACAATTAGAATTCACACTAAAGGATTGTCCCCAAATCTCAGCAGAGTTCATCTCCCCCGCAGCACCACTGACATTTGTTTACATGCTTTATGAGATTTTTTTACACTGCAGCTTAAACCTACACAGACTCATCATCCTGCGTTTCTGCAGCCCAGGGTCCCACATGCTGCTGTCGGGGAGTCGGTGGGTGGTGCTTTCCTCTGAGCGCTCAGCTGAAGAACAGCCTTTTGACTCACTGGAGCTGGGGCAGGATTCCCGTCCTCGTCGCTGTGTGGCAGCGGGATGTTGTCTGAGGACAGCCGCAGGTCTTGGGCTGTCGCTTCTACACGCTGCCACAGCTCCTGTTCCAGAGTCTTCCATGGTGTGCCTCTTACTCCAAGCCAGTAAGGGGAGTCTCCTCCAATCTGCTAACCGGGAGTCTTACAACGCAGCCTCTCAAGTCAGTGACATTCCATCACCTCTGTCATCTGTCCCACTCTATGGGGCCTGTGGAAGCAAGTTCCAGGCCTCACCAGGGAGACGACCGTACAGACAGGACATCGGGAGGTGGGAGTCAACAGGGGTCTAGGATCTGTGGTGTCATTTGTTGTTGGACAATAACAGAGCACAACACTCAGTTCTTTCTGGGACTGCAAGTAGTTGCCAGGCCAGGCTGCCCTTGGTAAGCTGGAAGTTTCCAGAAGACAGACATTCACACTCATCTCCGTACGCCTCAACTCCTGGCCCCTCCTGTGCTGCGTGCTCACATGCCGGTTCTTCCCTTCATCGCATCCCTGCAGCCCCGAGCCTCCTCGGACACTGACCCCCAAAGACTCACACCTCCGTCCTCTGACTCCCAGCTGGCTCGTCCACTGAGATGCGCTGGAGTCTGGAAGGGCAGGAGAGACGGACTGGGTACCACTGCCTTCCCTCCGGCTGCTGGTCGGTGGAGAGGAGTGGACTTTCTGCTGGGTTCGGCCCCAGTTCTGGAGTTCCCTCCTTCACTCAGCAGCTGTGATGCGTGTCAGAAGAGGGTGTGGGGTGCTCTGGAACTGAAGTCACAGACTGTTGACAGCCGCTGTGTGGGTGCTGGGAACCAGTGGGGTCCTCTGAAAGGGCAGTCAGTGCTCTTGACCACTGAGCCATCTCTCTAGACCCCGTGATTAATATTTTTCAAGACTAACGTTGTGATTTGTTTAACTGGGAATTGAACCTAGGACCTCACGTGTGCTAGGCAGGCCCTTGACCACTGAGCAGCCTCGCCAGGATCTTTTTACTTTTTATTTTGAGACAAGGTCTAACTAAAGAGCCCAGGTTGGTGTCCAACTTGTGGTTCTCCAGCATCTGCTTCATGCATAGATGGGATCACAGGCCTGCACAATCAGACCAGGTTTCAGATTAACATTTGAGAGGAGCTGGAGCTCAAATACATTGTCAATGGACAAGTGTGCAAATGTGTGATTGCAGAAAGGGTTGAAGTGTGAACAGATACAAGTGTGGCTGCAGAATACATGCGTGCGTGCGTGCGTGCGTGCGTGCGTGCGTGTGTGTGTGTGTGAAGAGTGCAAGCATGCACGGTTACAGAAATAGGGAAGTGTGAGGCACATACGTAGTGCAGAAGAGAATAAGGGCGAGTCCTCTATACAGTCAAGGCGCCATGCTGGTGTGCATAGTTTTACAGCTGAACGGCCCAAAAAGCGTGGGGCAGGAGGAGGAAGGCAGAAGTTGAGACAGGAGGGTTTCTCCAGGGTAGTGGATGAGCTCACTCTGACCCCATAGAGATACAACAGAATCCTGAGCAAACTGCTAATCCTGGCCTTAACCTATGCCATCCGGGTGGGACCTCGGGCAGTTTCTTTAAAGGGCGCCCCTGGCGGCTGTAATGCCAAAATGCGGCTCCAGGGGGCGCAGAGGCTCTGGCTCTTGGAGTTGAGCTCCCTCTGAGAACCCTGCCCTGCACCCTCTGGGTCATCTGAACAGTCTGGGAGGGCACAGATGGTTCTAGCGGTGTCTCCGTCTCTCAAAGAAAGACCCAGTTCTCGCTGTCGTGGGAAAACTAATTTATTGAATGATTAAGACCTCTAATTATACAAAGACTGAACACAGCATGTATCTCTGCTGCGTCTACAAATCTCAAACTGCAATAAACGATTTTTTAAAATACAGGTCCCCAGAGATTAAGGCAGATGGCAGACAAGATGAGCGTAGTGGTGTATGCCTGTAGTCCTAGCACTCGGGAGAAGCTGAGGCAGGAGGATGGCAAGTTTCAGGCAGCCTGGGCTACAAGATGGGACCCCACCTCAAACAAACATGGAGACAGAAAGTTCAGGGGAGCTGGAAAAAATGGTGATTTATTACAGTGGAGAACATTGAGACCTCCGTTTCCTCAGTGAAGAAAAGACTGCTGGGCTAGCTCAGGTGGGTACAACACAAACCAAATCTGCCACAGAGGTCTAGGAGACGAGTCTGGGACGCAGAATGTGAGAGTCATAATAAGAGCAGCCAAAAGCTTGTGCAAAAGGAAATGAGCTGTACAGATTGTGTGTGTGTGTGTGTGTGTGTGTGTGTGTGTGTGTGTGTGTG